AAATTGCAGGATTTCAACGTACTAGACACCCAACCGGCGGATTTCCAGCCCCTGACAGCGGTATCAGCTGGCCACAATACGATCTACTGGCTTGTATGGACCTCTGTTCTTCTCGCCGTTGCTCTTGTATTGGCAATCATGACGTGTCTCTCACAACGAGCTGATTATACGAGGAAGCTCAAGGCTGCCACGGCGACTGCGTATTGTGAGTTTCTGAAAATTCCTTGAAGAAATTGCTTGACCGTGCCTTTTTTTGGCTCTGGCAAGACGTAGTTCACAATGTGTTGCTATATTAGCGAGTGTCACAGTCTGCGGAAACGAGATATTTAGGGGCCGTTCAAGTATTACGTAAGTAGATTTACTGCAATTTATCCCCCCCTTGCTCTTGTCAGCCAAAGTAAGCTCTCAAAAATAATAATACTTATTATTTTTTTGTTTGTAGAAATCATCGAAAATGCATTTCGTTTTCAAGCATAGACAGTGTGTGGGTAATATGTGTAAAAAAATAATTACATTTGACGTAATCACCAAATAAGAAACTCAAAGACCCCCCTCCCCCCTATAGTAATACTTGAACGGCCCCCTAAAAAAAAAAGATAACTGACGAACTATAATGACGTAACAGTGTTGTCAACATTTTTGTGTTAATTCACTGCAGCGACCTCAAATCCCGACGGTTCTCTATCCACAACAGACTCCAAAGATGTGCCGCAAAATTTCAAATATCTGTTCACATTATGTACCTATGTTATATATTTCCCCTTCAGAAATACTAGGATCATAGATTTTCATGATCCAGTAAAATAAAAAACAACAGATAAATAAGTTTGTTTACATTTTGGTTGCTTATCACTTAATTAGATTATTATTAAACGACTCCAAAAAAGTGTCTTATCAATTTGACCTGTATGTTATTGTTGAAATTGGATAATTCTTTAGTACAATTATCTATTTAGACTTACAAGCGCCTGGGCTAAGGCTCGTATTCTAGAACATTCGTAATTAAAACTAGTCACAAAAGCTGTCAAACAGTTATATTTTCCGATTTAAATCAGGTATATTTTTACTTTGGGTACAGCGCCAAGTTTCATCAAAATCGGTACAGTACTTTTTGATATAGTGTAAAAAATGTTGAAGTCGGATAATTTTTCTTAATTACTGCTATTAAAGTCAAACTTCATATAAAATGATCTGAAACCATTCTCAATGTGTAAATTATAATTTATGTATTCCCATATTAGCATCACCGACACCAGGCGAATCGGATATGACTCTCCGTTCAGGTGGTCGAGTACCAAACACAAACAAACACAGCTCCAAAGGCTCTAATCCAATATGGCTACACGCCTATGAAAACGACTGGTACAAAGCCGACGACCAAATGAGCCATTCGGAAAGAGATTCCTTAGACGAGAACGCAGTTAACACAGACGTGCCGAATAAACCATTTTTCATAACTAACACCGCGTTCCCAATACAAGCGAATGAAACAGACAGCAATTATGATTTCTATCAACAGTTGGAACAGATGAAGAACGCTAAGAATATGGAGACCACGGAATTGTAAACATTTTAATAAAATATTTTAAAAAATATACGATTATTATTCCAAACAAAATTTGTTACTCATTGCTACGTATTAATGATACATTTGTGGCAATATTTCATTTAATGGCAGCAAACTGTGTAACGATTTTCAATTAGATTTTTATTGGCATTCTAATGTCAATGTCATCCAACTATTAAAAACAATTTGGTAAATTATTATATATCCGTAGCACTAATATATAGGTAATAATACCTATGTAAATATATATATTCATGCTTAACGGAAATTAGTCTCTGAACAGCCATAAATATGCAAAAAAAATTGTATGGCTTAAACAGACGATATCAATGTTAGACGCCACAACCCGAAGGCAAAACTGTATAAGCTAAGTCAGCTTAGTATGCCATATGTCGCTGAGTTTTTAATTTGATTAGGTTTAGTATTTAAACTGTGAATTGCGTAATTGTAAGTTTATATAAATTATGTGCCTTGTAAATGTACCTTAATAATAAGTTTACTAGTAAGTATCTTAGTCTAGGGGGTTATTTATTAATAAAATGAATTTGTAAAAGGTAATCAATGTTTTTGTCTTTATAAATCCAATTGTAAATTTTGAAATAGGCTTTCAGTTTTTTATTAATAATGTTTTAATTGGGGCTTAATGTGTATGAATGATATAAATTATTACTTACCTAATAAATTAGTGTGAATACTACTTCGTCGTTTTATTTTTCGAAGCTACCATAAGACTAAAGTGACCACTCTACTTTGTGTGAAACCTCGCAACCCTTCCAGACCATGGGGCAAACATGATTCTAATTTGTGCCGCCTAATTAAGAACTACTATTCTTCCGTAACGAATTATCCCTATGGACTCAAATAATGCAAAGCGATAAACGCTTTTTGTAGCTTATGCAAAGAATTAATAATTTACAATGTTGTGAATCCATTTGAAGTATCATCTATGAAATAAATTCCCACAGTAGAGGTTTTCTCTACTAGTACTAGTGTTTCATGTAAGTCACATAACGTTATAAAAACATATCACAATATCGCCATTATGTAAGACCGATTTTCTTTTGTAACAATAGAAAAGTCGTGTCTGATAGTATGTAATCATTGAAATTATTAATCGTTATCTGCTTTGTTCCGCTAGAAACGATTGTTAATAAAAATGTCATTTATAAAAAAACAAAAACAACAAAAGGGCAGTAGTAGATCTACTGCCCTTTTGTTTTGCCGACGTTTGTTCGTCCTCTCAATATTTAAGATGCCTACAACAGGGATTGCTTATTTTTACTTTAGGTACTAAAATCATTTCATTAGGTCCAGTCGACGCTACACGCAAACATGACACAGGATATCTAGGGGTAAGTATAATATGTCAAGCATCAGGCAAAATGCTGATCCAGCTTCGTGTCACTGATCGCAATCATTTATGGTTCGCCTACTTTCATTTTCATGCTAATGACGTAGAGTTCATTACCCCAAAAATTACTCAGGTATATCTCTATAAATATACCTATTTAATGTTCATAAAAAGAATAAGCAAATAAACCTCGCAGTTTCGTAAAACGTGTTTCTATTAATATATAGGACACCGTCCTTCACGTTGTTTCTCTGAATTTAAAATAGATCGCCAACGCCTATTGACCAAAAATGCATAGATTCATATACATTCAAGTCAATTTTTTTACCGTAAAAATTGCATAAATTTTCGTTGCTGCCCATCTTTCAGACACGTTAGAAACCAATATATTGGTTAGTGATTACAGGTATTTTAAATTTGGCTACTGTTTTTAAAAAGTGAATATTATAAATGTTTGTTTACAATAACGGTAGTGTTGAACCAATTATGAAAAAATTTCGCATTGATAAAGTTAGCTGTTTTACCCGTTAATGGATAACCCAACAAGAATTTTTTGACTCGAGCCTGCAGTTCCTGAGATCAGCGCGGTCAACCACTCTTCAGGTTTCATAATTTAGTATAGATGGTATGGGGATGGGGGTAAAGAATGCTAAACGAAAGAAACGAGCACATCTTTCGTTTATTCGCTGAAACCATTCCGAGCCCAATTAGACGCTGTCTTTTCTTTTTGTCTTATATTCCTACCCCAGTTCGGCTTTTATTCTTTAACTATTAAGGTGTCATAAATCCAATTTCAGGCTCTAGAAATCTGCCCTATTACGTGAAATGTGTGTTAACTTTACTACTATTATTATCTAAGTTATTTGGACAAAATAGAAAGACTCCTGATGAGATATCACATGGAACAGATTCTGTATTTTATTTAGGTGGCTATACTAACCATAATTGCTAACTTATAAATGCAGTTTCCACATTGTCATATAATAAAAAAGTTTAATGTTTTTTACAGCTGCATGACATAGGGAGACACCTAAATAAATCTCACATTATTATTTACATACACAATAATTTATTGTTCTTAAATTTTAGTGAAGCTAAGATTGGATTACAATTGAAAAGCGTTATGTTACTGTTTCTCTCCCTGATAACCGAGTGAACAAAAGCTTTCTCTTGCAGCTGTAAAGTAACACATGCCACTAATGCCATTCTGGTGAGCCAGCAATAACCTGATCCGAGGGTATGAGGATGGTCTTCATGGATGGGATGACTTGGAAATCAGAACGCAGCTGTCCTTACAACCACAATATATATTAGATAAAATTATAATATAAAGATCGCCATATTGAAAAAGTTCTAGATTAAACATAACTTATTATCTTATGAGATACACTGTAATTTATACTGCAATGTTTAAACTATATTGGAGCATGTCAACTACCACATTTAATATTGTGGATGAAAGAAAAGTTATCACTTTCGTAAAACATCAGTCTGTTCTGCAAATTGCTACATTACTAACTTAGCTGTTAAAAATTAATGTCTAGACTGGGTGAGCTCAATCTGTTCCTATTCTCACAGGAGCCCTATTTTCTTAACATTAATGAGCTCACTTACAAATTCATTGAACAAACCTAAAAAAAAAAACAGAAAAGCAACACCTCCAAACATATGGCTATTGTAGTTTACAATGGAATTTTTAGTTCTAGTTAAAGTACAAATTCTTTAGAAATAACAATATGATTTTAATGCAAATTTAACTAAGTTTAATTTTTTAACTAAATGAGTAAAAGACATCTACACATCAATGTTACAACGGAAAGTAATTTAATTTTTCTTTTATAGAAAAGTACTGAATAATATATGAACAGAAACTATTTTATGTTCGTAATAATATTTACTAAAGATGAAATCTCAATATGATTATTATTGAAGACCATCAAAGAAATAATCATGTGAAAATGAAAACAAAATTGGAAAATTTAGACCAGGATATAGACAAACGGATAAAGGGTTTGAACGGGTGTAGAGCCAGGGTTTTGTGGCGATGTGTTTGTATGTTTAGTTGATGTCACAATTGACTCATCACATGGCATACTTCCTAGTCCACTCTCTGGCTAATTCATTGTACTTTTCTCTGTCAGTTTTGTAGATCCTAGCGATTTCTGGTACCAAAGGATCATCAGGGTTTGGATCACATAGCAGTGAACAGATTGAGAGCAACACTGAAAACAAAATAAATTTTAAGTATTGACAGACATACAAATATCATAGCAAAAGTATGCAAGTCACTAGTTACCTTTAGATATGGTTAGTGCCGGAGACCACTGTGAGCGCAGAATGTCGAGACAGATTGAACCATTACTGTTTATATTAGGATGGTAGATACGTGTTGTGAATGCAACTTTTGGTGGTTTAAATGGATAGTCTGTTGGAAAATGTATAGTCAAAAAGAAGACACCTCCTTGATAAGGACTGTCGACCTGGAATGCAAAAATTATATTAAGTAGCTATATATAAAGCAATAATTTTGATGTTTTCTTAAAAAAAAACACAAAACAAAATAAATATTCTTATTTCTGATAGATACTTACTGGACCCATTATTGTGGCCTGCCAGTGAAATACTGAAATAAATAAAAAATAATGAATAACATCATCTTAAACTGCTCTTTGTGCAAATAGTTCCAATGTGACTCAGCTGATTGTAGTCTTACATTTTAAAAGTACAATATGAAAAAATATTCTGGCCTACACTTTTATAGGTGTTTAATCTGGTAGATTTTCTTTGTCACAATATACAATTACTTAAAAAAAATAAAAATCATCATAACCTACATAATAATAAGTGATCTTCATTTTTAACGGGATATTAAGTACAGGCCTATGACTCATTAAAATATAGTAACGAATACGGAAACTACTTACGATCTTCTCCGTGTGGGCCTGCGGAGCATTGTGCTGGAGGGTCCCTACCCAGGTCTTGTAATTCCTGCACAAGACAAAACCATCTTTGTACATGATATGAAACACAATACCTAGATTCGAAACGTCAAACACATCATCAGGTAACATACGGCCATTCAACTAAGATCCGCTCAAAATATACATGCCTGTTTTTAATACAACAGTTAAAAATACTACAATTTAAACTGATATATTGGATCTTCATTTAACACTGTTAGATTACAAAAAAACCTGAAAATCGTTACGATTCCGACATTTTATATTCACAGTGTGCATTTAATTGTCACCAACATGAAACCATACAACACCCATTACTAAGTGAATACGTAGATTTTGTCAAAAAATAAACGACGATTAATTTTTTAACATCATCACACACAGAAATATCCAGAAGAAAATGTCGATAATAGGTATTCACAATGACGAAACATTCACTACGAAATCTCCTTACATTTTAACAACACACCATTTTTACATCTCATTAATAATGAAACTAATATCAACGTTAATTATACGTACCCTATTAATTCGTTTTAACGCCATTTGATTATTTTATAATGAAATAAACCAACTTTTTACTAGACAACGAAACTGTGAGCCAAGGACCTTTGATTAGAGATTGCAAGATGGCTCCCGTCTAAACGCAAAAGTGCCACTTATTTGGTTTTATATAATATTATAAAAATAATAACAATTACGACAAAAGTTCAAATACTTAAATAAAAAATAATATTAACTAATATTAAGAAATAATAAATTTTAGAACAGAGCGCAAGTTTTAACAAAATTAACACACTCGCGACAAATGGCGAACAGCAAACAGGAAAATCGACCATTAACAAAGAACGTTCGTAAGTTGATAGTATTGATGACAAATAATTTATATAACAAAAAATATTTAAAATATTATGAAAACAATACCCAATAAAATTAAAATAATTTTATGATCATAACTAACTTAAGATCACAATATTTTTAATTTATATATAAGTTTACTACAAATAAACTCAACTTGATATTACTTTTTTTTAAACATGGCAACCCATACTAGGACGTGACGTCATCTGAACACAAGTAGGCGCTATTTTTGGATATATATTTAACCTTAAAATCTTTAAATATGTTGAGTTATTTTCAAACACATTTTTGCAATTTGAAACTTTCACAGATATATAAAATTATTGATATGTGTATTTGTAACTCTAAGTAGGCCCGTAGCTACGATTCAATTTGCGACTAAAATCTAAATGTTAAAGTACCTACTGTCGTCTTATAATTTTATAACTATCATAAAATAGCTTAATAAATAATAGTATTATGTGCTGTTTAAATTTAGTTTTTAATTTAAAAACTGAAACTTGTAAATTCTAATATTTATGTTATTATATATTTATTATTATGTTATAATTTATTATAATTATAATTTTCATAAATAAAATAAATATTGTGCTGTATGAACTCGAATTTTTTTTTTTAAATTTAATAATAATTTAACAATGCACGTTGCATCAATCCCGTAAATTGCTAATGCGCTGGAGCTTGAAAACGATAGATATCATGACAAAATAATTATGTGACATTAATTATTTTAATGAATAACATAAAATGTATTGAAAATAAGTAAGTCTGATTTTTAAACCCATTACAGCATTTTAATCTCATTAATTGAACGTTTACCAGCAGATCATAGCAGGACCACAGCGTGACGAGAGAAATGTAATCTGTGGATTAATGAAATCATTATTTCATCTTACTCATTAATTTCACTTTAATAAACACATTTTAAATATTGTATTAATATAATGAATAAATATATGGCTATGGCTGTGGCTGTGGCACAAAATTGCAAGACAAGCAAACCACGTTAAAAAAGTTATCATGATCCCAGAACAAGACAAGCGTAGAAACCGTGTAAAATATAAGAGTTGAAACCTAGCTAGGTTGGCTCTATTTGTTATATGAGTTATTTCTGTACAATTCTTTATTTTTGTTACAATTTTTTTTATACAGATAGATTATTTATTTGTTTGCAGTTACAGTTATACAACACAGAAAAGAAAACAGGCTAAAATAAGAAACAACAACAATCAATGATAAAGAAATCTGTACCTATATTATATTGTCAGACGTAAAGAACGTCATGCATCCATAATTCCCTCAATCGTTAGCATACTATTGCCGTAATTAGTCCGTATTTTTGATAATGTAGCTTGCTCATCGGGGCAGACTGCAAATGTTATTATTTATTTTTGAATAGTTCATAACATAGTTATGACTTTAAATACAAGAGAACGCACACCTGATATCTGAACAAAATATGTTGTTTTAAAGGTAGATACCAGGCCATAAACTCCAAAAAAAAAAAAATAACAAATGTTGGTTGTCAAGTAGACGTGCCACAAAATATTCTTGCTGTTTGTATTATTTCCCACTTGGCACAAATAAAAGCCATAAAAAAATAAAATTCTACGATTTTTTTAAAGCGGCTTTCATAATTTTATTTTGCACAGGGGGTTTAGTCAATTTGTCGACACGACTGTCATTTTCATACAAAATTTTAGTTTTTATCGATACAGATTATCATTACCACATTATCGACAAAGATTAGTTTTTTATTCTAATGACATAAACAATTATAAAATATTACTGTTTCTTTTTTTTCGTTTCGACTTGTATGACATTTCAATTTTCACAAGAGGCTACATATTTTAAATTTATGACCAATAAAGTGTTATTGACAGTAATCAATAACACTTTCTTATGGAGTGAAATAACGTAAAATATATTTATTTATGGAAAATCGTTTATAATTTATGAAAAATCTATAATGAAATACATTGATTATTATATGTCAGTCACGTTTGATTAAAATACAGAACATATTTTATGTAATTTTAAGGATCATAATTAACACTTAAAAAATTGTTTCACGTGTTTACAGGACATCTTGCAAAGAAAAGTGTTTAAGAATTATTAAGTGTTCGACATATTATTACTGAATTTACGACCATAAATCAAAAAGACATATCTGTCATCTGTGGAATTAGGTGTGTCATTCTCCCAATTGTCATTGACAATTGACATATCTGACTTCTTCAAGGTATTTGTTTCATCTTAGTCTGTGGTTTGTTTATTTTGTTTGGTTTAAATGTGGTTTAAATACAGTGAAGGGTAGTCGTATAAAACAAAAACAGAAGGCAATAGGTGAAAATTTCGTGTATTAAATATGTTACTATTAATTGTTTCACTTATTGGTGTTTATAAATTATAAACGAAATATGTTTTCTTGCAATTTAATGCTCTTAAAGTAGTCAAATCAATTATATATTTTATTATTAGTTCAAACGTTCTACGCCTTCTGTAGTAGGTACATTAGTGTTAAACGAATTTGAGAACATTTCTTAAAATATAATAAACAGTTCGAAAATGTCTCTTACTATGACAAAAAAGTTATGTGAGAGTCAGACAGAAACTGTACAATTTATGGCGATTGAAAAAGTAAGTTATATTTAACAATAGTCATTCGTTTTTAATTACTACATGATTGGTTTTTAATAGTTTATATTTTTAATAGATCCAAAAGAATTGTAATCAAGAAAAAGATTGTTGTAGTGGAAGTACATTACTACGGAGAGGAAAAAAATTAGAAGACAATAATAATTTGTCAAAAGAAGACATAGAATATATTAATTACAGACAACTTCTCAAGTTCGAACAAGCACCAGTGTATTTGCAGCATAATCCATTTATCAGAGATGGCTACCGGAAATTGCTACCAACAAGACTCTGTTGGGAGAGGTGAGATACTTAAATTTTAAGAATTAGTTGTTCAAAGAAGTTTTAGGTCAAAAATCTGTTCTATTTAAATCCTCACAAACCATTGTTCTCTTCTGTCTACTGATAATTATGTTATATGTTATTTTAGAAATTATTTCTAATACATATGAATTCAACTAACTGCAGTTAAAATTTCAATCTTCATTTACTATTTAAATAGTTTCATGACATTTAGAGATTATATTATTACTTTTTTTTAGTAATATCTCGTTCAATTTACTTAACAATCTATTATTCAATTTATATGATTGAGTGTAATATAAAGCCACAATGTGATAGGGCAATTTATATTGTTATGATGAAGGAACTACAATAAAAATGATTGCTGAAGTACAATTGCTCCTCAGGGCCTGGTTTTTATATCTGCTTTTCCAATATTGGATGATATATATGGGGGTTTATATGATGTCCTGATTTACTTACTCATCACTTTCCTAAATAAAGCTTACTTAAAAATGTGTTAAATAATGTCTGTATTAATTGTTATAACACTTATAATATTGGCAATAAATTACAATAAATTTTGGGAAAAAGATCAATCTAAGTAAAAATTGGAATACTGTAGTAACCGTGTCTGATAATATAATTAGAATTTTGCATAGTTACATTTCTAGATAGATTGAATTTGGTATAAAAATTACAATTACCACTTGCATCAATGACGAAGTTGCGATAGATTATTTTCATACTTTACAAATTAATAATTAATTTAATGAAAATTAATAGAGTGAAACATGCGTGCATATGAATAGCAATCAGTATTCTGCAATTAATGTTGTGTTGACATAAACTTTGATATGAACTTATCCTCTGTATATTGAACTTTAACTCATTTGTTTTGTGTAGTTGTGATTTGTTAAACTAAATAAAATCAGGATACCTTTTAACCATTTTGACATATTTAAATTTTACAATGGAAAAGGCCAAGTCAACAAAACGGTCTCGAATGACAATTTCCTAATCCTAAAGTGTTACCTATTTACAAATAACGCTTTTATAAAAAAAAAACACAAACACGAACTGTTATAGTTAAATGACTTGGCCTCTAGAAGGGTTTTCTCATATTTCCTAGTAAATATGGATTTTTTGTTCAGTATGTTTTTTTATAACTCCGTGATTATTAGTAATTAAATGCGGGTAGCCCTCTTGCGAGATTAAACTTAAAAAAATATCTATTTAACTAAACTAAAAATCATACAGATTCCTTAAAAGCCATTATCTTCTAGTTCTAGTAGTAATTACGCCTTTGATATAGTCGTAAGGGTCACATACAACTACAAATAAATTTTTTCAGCATATTCTGGTGGACGAACGAAACGATGAATATATGGACACATATATTCGGTTTCTTTCTGCTGGGGTCGTTGACAATCAACGATCTTGCTATAATAAACATACATGCAACTGTAACAGACAAGACCGTCGCTGCTATACTCTTCTCATGTTTTCTAGTGAGTACTTTCATTTTATTTATTCATAAACCATGACTATCGCAATTGACCGCGTTATACTTTTACCCGTACACATTACTGAAATAACCACCTAGCCAAAAAATAAAAAGCTCTAAAGAATTTTTATTTATACAATAAGGTTACTAGTATACAAATCCCTTAAGTGCTTAAGCAAATCTGCATTGAACATTCCTTAGATACAGCTACCGGCAGACTCAAGGCGATTGATTAGTCACATTCTAATGATGTTTTCATCATCTTAGGGACCACTGACTTGGCAGTCGTAAGTTGAATGTAAATAGAGTCTATACAGCCACAGGTTTTGACTTGAAAAAACAAAAAAAAACGCAATATACACGTTCACGAGGACTTAAAGCGATAAAACTGTGTTTTAGCACATAGAGACGTAGAGTACGTGTTTAGATACGTGACATTCTTTTGAGTAATTATTTAATGCACATAAAGGAATTTTATGTATATATGTGTTACATGTACGTCACAATTGACGTACAACTACTAATTCTATTCGCTCGTATATTTTATAGACCGCCGTACTTTAGTGGCTTATATGGCGTAAAACGGAAGTCCTAGGGTCGATTCCAACAACAAAATCTAGTAGGCAAAGTAGGCTGATAGCCTCTTAAAATATTAGACTATACGTAATGTTACCATTGGTTTTGGCTCCGGTCAGTAAGTGCTGACTTATGTCGACATTTTGTAATCCGACCATGCAATTTACGTAAGCTAAATTATATAACGCTTGGTTTCAAATTAAAGAAAAATCTTGTGAAGTCCTATTTCGTTGGTGTACACGTGCTAATTATACTACACAAGTGATTTCAGAATAATATATAGTAATCTATATATTGCCGATGAGTAGGGATGCCTACAAATTCAAATTTAATGACGATAAGTGATACATGTATCTTATGTTCCATAATAAACATATTTCTTTTTTATATAATAAATATCTCTTCAAACATCATATCTTTTATTATTTATTTATGATTTCAAAAGTTTATATTAAGTATTAAAAAATAAAATTTCATAGCAAGTGATCTAAATATTGTGATGTTAAGTATAAATTTACCGTATAAGCGGCCTTCAAATATCAAACATAGTATAGTACAAAACCCGTTTGAGTAAAGTAACGGATATTGTCGATGCGAAGACTATGCGGAATTAAAATTTAGTACAGATTCAACTGCTTTGTTCCCAATTTTAACCAGTCATATGCGTAGATTTTTTCAAAACTTCTCATTTGCCTAGACTAATATTTTCAATTTTGAATATAGAACTTTTGTCCATATAACAAGCTACAAAGATGCAAGGAACGAAAGGTATTAATTATTGTATAACATATTAACTGTATAACATTATTGTTTAGATTATAAGCTCATTCAAAACACAAACGCCACTTTGAATTTAAAAAAAACCTACAATATACCTGTGTTGTGTTGTGTCCCTGTGTTGAGTAGTTGGTTATGTTTCTAATATGTAATTCTTCAGCTGTTTTTCCAAAATAAAAACCTATGTTTGCATTTTGCTTAGCGTGTGATTTCTTCATTGGTTATGCATTCTTGCCGATTTAGGGTCTCATGTTAGAACAGGATTGTGTTTTTGTATATTAAATTAAATTAATTAAATAAACTAATGAAAAGGATGACTGTCGTATCTCAAAATCCAATATTAGACTTAGCGCTTTAGCGTTTCATGAGCTGTCGGTCTATTTTTCTGTATGAAGTTTAATATATTGGATAGCACTCAAGACGAGATTGTGACTTGAGATACGAATTAGGAACATCCACAGTGTAGTTTACGAGTATTTTTCGTAGTTTGCTACTGTCGGCCGTTTATGGCTGAACTTTTCTTGGCTTCCTAATATTATTAAGACATTTCTGCGCTGAATTCACAGATAATAGCTGATATGCCTTCTGTGCCTGATTTAAACGTTTATTTCCATGGAATTCAATAAGCATGGTTCAATTGCTGGGAGGTTTAAATCCAAGTTAAACATTAAAAAATCTATGATATTAAACCGCACTAAAAGTAATGGGCGGAAGTGGCAGATGAAAGTCATGTGACGGAAAACAAAAAGCAATAATGGCGAAAGGTCAATTATAATAACAATATATGGGATCTTAAGTAATTTTGAGCGGCCATTTTGATTGCGCATTGCGGATGTAAATTTTTGTATTATCAAACCTTGATTTACTATCTTACTTATCTTATGATTAATATCAATTGTATCGATATAAATAATTTATTAATATATACTAGACTTTATTTAAATTGTATATTGTAATTGTTTTTGCTGAAGCTTAAGCAATTCAAAGTAATATTGAAATAATATCGCAGTCAGCGATGAGTGGCCATCACTATGGTTCAGGGTTTAGAGAATAAATAGAACAAATCAAAATTGATGTTGTCGTGTGTTTGAAACCTAAAATTTTGTTTAAATTATTTTATTTTCCTAATAACGGTTTGTTTGTATTTTCCGTTTTTGGCTTATGTATTGTGTAATTGTAAAGCTGTGGGAATTATAAAAAAATAATAAATAATTAGTGTTTAGGTATACGGCCACAGAGGAATGCGAATCCATACAATGCATTTAATTTGTAATTGCGTATTTTATTTCTTATTACATTTAATGTTTGCAATTTATTTATTCAATGGTCAGTAAGTTAATATTGATATAAGTTATCCTTAACCACCGTTTAACAGTTAAAACAATTTCGATATCTGTTTTTCTTGACTCGGACTTTGACCCTCACTTTCTTCCTCTATATTATGTTTTTGCCTGCTTATAGATTAGTAATGCTCTTTGAAATGTCATAACTTTCCTAACATTAACTCTGAACTTTCTTAGAACATGTGCTAATGACATGCTAATCGTTTGATATACTTACCTTTGCAAAAATAATAAAAAAACGGAAAAGATAATTTAATTTTTATAGTTAATTTAATATCTAGTTTTATTCAATGAGGAAAATGTTAAAGTTAATTATGCCTGACGCAACTGACAGCCTTAAGAAATTCTGTATATACCAGTCAATCCTCCCATTCATAGAAATATATAAGCCTTATATATTTATCTCTTTTCATCGTAGCGTAAACGAAATTGATAGAAAGAGACAATTTATCAAAAAATCTAATAAAGAGAAAAGTATTTCATATGTATAAAAGTTTTCTTTAGTAGTAGTAAAAAAAGGTAATGGGACAGGTAGCAAACGAGCACGCGGGTAACTTTAAGAATATGGCAAAAAATATTAAGCATAATAAACATTAAAAGGGTTAGGTAAGGTTAGGGTTGCCTGGAAGAAATCGCTTGTTAGCGATAAGGCCGCCCGTTGCCTTATAACTTTTGTAACCTGTTTTTTATTTTTGTTATGTGTATTTTTTGAATAAGGTAATAAATAAATAAAAGCCGAAATCATCGAAGAGCTACCTTATGAATTTTAAAATCACCTTCCGCGTTTCATATTTGGATGTTCGTAATACAAGTAAAAAGTTGTACGATTTTTAATTGGTTTTACAACGATTCGCATATAAAAGGGACATTTTTAAATATAAAGACAGCTGTACTGTTTCTTAAATAGACCCCTGTAAGATCATCGGGTCGGTATTAACATATCTCGGTTGCGTACTATTTAAATTAGGATAAAATAATGAGGTATGAGGTAATAATTACATACTTATAACGAATAAACTCGTAAATTACTGGACTTACTTTGGTATCACTGAGAAACATAGGTATTTTTTCTAAAATATAAAAAGTATGTTCGGCCAAAAACCACTAAATCCCATTACCAAATCAGAGCCTAAATATCATAAATATATATTTTAGTTCTATGTGGAAAAGTTTCTGAAATTCATAGGAGGTGCAATTTTTTTTGTTAATAATATGAGAAGTAATTATAAGAGACAACTATCCCAGAGTTGTTAGGTTTAAAGAATCTATGTCATTGACTCATAGACAGCATGGGAAAAAAATTTAAACACATAAAAGTAAAAATGTGGCTGTCGTAGGTAGTATATGTTATTATTTTATCCAAGTCCATTTACCAAACACATTCGGCGTATTCCGAACGGGTCCACTGCTATATTCTCTATAAACACTTAATTGCTTTCTGAATATATTTGTATTTTATGGTAGAGAAATTAAAAAAAAATCTTTGTTTACATACACTAATATGTCTTAAATCATGTACATATAAACCACGTTAAATTAAAATTCTGAAGTGCGGAAGTGTACGAAGGTGGGAAGAAGGTCGTGCTTATATGCCACACTCATTTAAATGCTTGTTTTTAAATTTTGATTATTTTTCTGTGTTATTAAGTGTTGCTTAATACAAGTTTTATCATATAAAAATGTTAGCGGCGGTAATTGTGACATACGAATACAGAATAAAAACTATATTATGAAATGAATATATTATACGCTATGTTTTTTTAGTGTCGCACCACAAATTGCATTCGAATACATTTTCGAGAGCCGTTGTCATGAAGTATCCTTGACGAATATATAAATACCTATCTTTATTATTTGGTGAACTATATTTTATTAAATTTGGATTAATTTATGTGTTATTACATTAATAGTAAAAAGGCTTAAAGGATTTTTTACTTAAAAAAAAAACCACAAGCTTGATTCCCAAAAACACTTAAAACCAATCAAAATGGTATGTAGGTATATGAGGCTGATGTTTTCGCGAGCGAGTGTTTAATGCGCCCATAGACAAAAAGTTTGGTGCACTGTTATTTTTATATTATTATAGTTTAGATATAAAATATATTTTTCCAGATATGCATGGCGCTATCGGCTCTGTATCACACGTTTTCGTGTCGTTCGGAGACGGATTACAACACGTTCCTCATGTACGATCTCTTTGGAATCGCTCTCTCGCTGTTGGCTATATACACGTCGGGTATTTACTATGCATTCTGGTGTAATCATGTGAGTATCCCTTTACTTATGGCGTAATGTATTTATTACTAGAGAAAGGATCGGACATTTTAAAACACTTGCAGATTATTTATTAGGACCATAGATCCATAGATAAACATTCATTTCAAGAACCCGAACGCTATAGGCAAGATGGCGTCGCAATAGACCCTGTGACGTACCATGAAACTAACTTCAAGTTGTGGCGATAACTCCAGGAATTTAAATGGAAGAACTTAAAAAGTTGGTGGTTGAACGGTCGACCTGTAGAATATTATTATGTACTTGCCAAGGATGGTAAATTCCATATGAGGAGCATTCTTTAGGATTACATTATGTAACTTATGTCACAACCGGAATGTTGGCAACTTGTAACTTGTCTTGCAATTGACACATTAATTAGATATGGAGAAGTTAACAGCTGATCGCGACTTGGTTAAATCGTGTACATCCTAAATTTTTCAAACATGTTATCTATAATTTAAAATGGAAATGTCTAGAATGTTTATTAAGAACGATTTCATAACTAATTATAGCTTCGAGAATCGAGTGTCCCGGCATAGGTGGTGTTCGATAATAATAATATCTAATTAACTAACAAAAAATATAGATAATACTCGGGAATATTGAATTCTAGATTTTATTTTAGTTTCTATCTTTAAAAAATACAAAATTATTTTCTCGTTATAATGCTACTATAGAGTGGTCTTATTAATAATGTCATGTGTCATTATAAATGTATTTGGAAATGTCCAGAAAGATCTAATTAGGATTACATAAGACCTATATTGTGTTAATAATCACCTGCCTTGCGATTCTGTAACTCACTTTTCGAACTCACACAACAGTTTGATGCGACAACGTTAAACGAATTTCTATGGGAATGACTTTAGCTCACGCTAGCCTGTCGAAGTGATTTTGTCTCAAGCCGCTGTTTTTACTACAATGTAAACCTCCTTACTCATAAAAAATAAATTATTATTGTTCATCACAGCGTAACACAACATAGAATAGATTATTTAATAAACTTAAGATTAACATAACTTAATTAGTGTAATTGCAGTTTTAACAAATCGTCTGTCTCTTTTCTGTACACCGTAAACAGAATTTGATAGAAAGAGACGTAATAATACTTTACCTAAAAGAGTGCAAATAGTTTTTTTTATATGCAAGGTCTTTTTTTACTTGAACAGTTATAATGGATAGTCTATTGATAGACAGTATACACGTGTTACTACCCCAGTTAATGTAATAATTAAAAAGTGAAGTAATTTCTGTTTGATATGCATCGCGGAGAATCGCGCCACATATACAATGAATAATATTCATAATTTACACTTAAATACTTGTGAATAAAATAAAAACATGCATAATTAGTAGTGGAAATATAGATCATATAGGTTTTGGACCGCCTTATAAGAAGTGCATTCTTTTATCACGATCTTAAGTTCCTTTGCTATGTTCTGTAATTTATGGTCTTTTTTGTAATGTTTACTTATATTAATTACATGTATTATAAGCATCTGTCATAACCGTGTCTATCTTCTTTTTTTCTTATGTGTGACCTTATTAGTGGGGCTATAAATAAATGAATTCACTAACGTTAGGATTATTTTTCTATAAAGGTTTCCGACGTATTAATATTTCGCAAATATTTTCATATCGGATGTCAATAGGCGCATGCTTGAATAAGTAAAAGTAGCCTATGGAAGTGAAAGTTTGAGCTCAAATCATCTCGCTTCGCTGTCAGCGTTAATATTCTATTTTGTTTTACATTATTTTCTAGTTATTATTTAATTTTAATCACACCCATAAAGAAAAGAGATTGTACAAAAAAAGACAGTAGACATACATTTGCTGAATTGGTTTCCTTAATCCCTACTTAACAAGGGTTCATTTAACAATATTAACGTAATGTTTATGGTTTGTAAATATATATTTAAAAAAAAAATACTTGAAAAGATTGTTTATATGTTTACATGCAAAAAGCTTCGACATTAAAAATTACTATTTTCGAGTGATTTGATTGAAAATATAAAGGATCATGCGCAGTAAAGGTCTTTGACATTTCGGTGTAATAACGCAAGGTATGGAAACTTTGATTAACCTTGAACCGTCTTTCACGCTTTAATTTAAAATGCGTTCAGCTCCTATTCCTGCATTTCAAACTTCGTTCTAGTGACTACAGTGCCATGGCAGAACTAAAGAGATAGACTGGTCATAACACGGAGGATATACTGTCCAAGTTTGCACAGAAGTCCGCTGTGTATTAGTAACATGAGTGCTTTATATGTTTAGCTGCGGGAAGGTTCAATGACCTAAATACCATTGAATTTTTGTCATAGAAAAATCATAATGAATTAATGACAATAGGATGCCACTATGGAAATTACCAAAATTCGTCAGACATTTAACGATATTATAGTACACGTATAGTACATAGTTAATGTTCGAAGTCGTAAGATAATTTGCCTCTGAAGTTGTGAAAGTCTCTACGTCATTTGGCTTTCATTTTTTGGAAATTGCCGCTCATAGGTTTTGGCTGTTGTGAATATATTGTTGAATCATTTATAAATTTTAAAATTGTAGTAATGATTAAATATTGTTTTTAAGAATGGAACAATTTATCTTATATTTATTTACTTAAGAATGACAGTAAAATTGTTTTTTTTTAATCCGAATGAAGCATTTTCACACATATATATTTTTGTGTTTGTTCAAGTACAGCTCCTCCGTCCGTAGTCCAACCTGCGTGATCAGGTGGAAAATATCTTCGTAACCTGTATATAAATAAACTAATTAACACTTTATACATTTAATAATCTAAGTAATACAAGGCCAATTAAGAAATTACTATTCAATACTTTTTAGTGAAGTTTCGCGTAGCTTTTATTTTTGCTTTAAGATTTTGTTTTAGCTTCCGATTGGGTCTAACAGGTCTTAACTGTTAACTTATAGTTAACGATGGAGTACGGCTTTTATATGTATTTTAAATGTGCTTTAAATGGGACCTTAAAATAATAATAGTGAACATCTAAACAAAAAAAATACGGCAAAGAAACGCTAGAAAAGTGGGCTCTTCCCACTAGTTACGCAGAGAGCACGCAAGCCTCGGTAACAAATTTTTTTATGCCAGGCATAGGACAGGTATACACAAAAGACCAGAACCAAATCTCGTTCAAATAATAACGGGCCATGGACCTTTCTCCAGTTATTTAAAGAGTCACTAAGTGGTCACGAAAATTTTACTATACTTGGGTACAGAAAAACGTTACGGCGCGATACCTGAGGGGGTCAATAATCTCCAAAAATTGCGTGACGTAATACTTGAACGCTCCCTTATGCCCTTGCGACGATATATCAGAACAAACCTCAATGCACCTGCTTCTGGACTGCTTGTCCAATGTTCGAAACAAAATTGATACAAAATGTAAATAAATGAAAAGAACAACACCGCTAAACAATATTAAGACCTTGGACACATTAACATTGGATGCGCAATAGTTTTTAGTTTTTTGTAAACTACACACGATAACTTTGCCCTACCACGTAAAATATCGTAATTCATTTTAGTTCGTAAATCCTGTTTTAAATACGCAACTATTTACAAAAATGCTATTTTATTTGCCACGCGTCATATATAAGGAAATAAACCGGCGATTTTACAAGTGATATTTAACGCAAGATATTGCGCACTAGACACACTTTCGCATTGTTTTCGAGTCATACCAGAGGCTCGCTCGGGCTTTTATTGGTTACATGGTTCTTATAGTTTAGTTTTAAAACAATGCAACTGCAAAACATTTACTATTCATATAATTTGTACTAGACAGTAGACACAGATCAGTGTCACTCATAGTTAACTAAAATTGTTTTGAATTCTGTGATTACAATAAACTTAATGCACACTTTATTACTTTAATATAAATCTTTTTGTTTTTTGCAACCTTTTACATCATCATCAATGGGACTGTACAGCCCCTTGTGGGCCTTAGTCTCCATAAGTATATGTTGCCATCGCAATCTATTTCGTGCTTCTTGCGTCCAACTTCGAACCCCTATCGTTTCGTCCTTGACAAATCCATCTCATTTAAAGAAAAACGCTTTTTACCGGATTAAAGTTATGTTTATTATTATAAATTTACAACTATTTGACATAATTTTAAATTTATCCGACGTTTCATCCATCTCACCAATGCAGCCTCGGTCTACCGGTTTTTCTCTTACTTAGGTTGTGGGTTCAGTAAGGACCTTGGTTCTGTCGTCCGCCATTCGGTGCACATGTCCAAACCACTTGTGCCGAGCGAATACTGTACTAAAAACCGTTCGATAGTTTTGAGTTCGTGTTCATACAGTTCAATCGAATCAAGACGTTAAAATTCGTTCGATGTTTATTGGACTTGAGGCGTACAAGTTGTCGGTTACTTGCGTCACTGGTCATCATTGTCGAAAATTCCGTGTAATAAACCAGTTTGATATCGAATTAGTACGCTGTTTAGTAACTACATACAAGCTTGCCAAACATGTTCTTGACCGTGGTCAATGTATTTGGGCCAAGGATGGGCCCCTGATTAGTCGGTCTCGTATTGTATTATTTATCCTGTGATAGTCTGTGGAAGATATCCCATCGTGATATAGGATTTAATGACGAGGAATTGATGCGTTTATCTTTTGTTTAACATGACGGACCTAATCTTAGCGCAAATGATTTTCTTGATTTATTGGAGCTTACTCATTTAGAAATACAAAAAGGTCCTAATTATTTATATGTATATGTCGCAGCCAACTAGCTGAATTAGCCGTTCAATTAACAGCCTAGCCTTTTAACTATACGGCGCCGTTTAACTAGCGGCCTGAAAGATATTCAGCCGTAGCATTTGTTACAACATTTAGGTCTTCCCTGGATACACTACCTCCAATTTTTTAAAAAGAGAGCATACTCATCCCTCAAAGGCCGGCAACGCACCCAGTAAAATATAGGCTCGTTTGCACTAAAAAAGTTAATTGCTTTAAAAAGAAGTAGAGACAAATAATCACCATTATTCATTTACATAAAGTAGGTCATGGCCGCAAAGAACAGCCAATAAATCCATTTGGACTCACTTAAGATCTTGTAAATAAAATAATATACATTTGAAGGCACATAAGTAACTATGTCTATACATAATATGGTATAATTTATGTCCGAACTCCGTTGTAAACTTTGCTCTTACAAACTGTTTTGTGAAAGTGACCACGTCATAATAGCTGTGCTATCAAATCAAACGGAGAATCAAATTACAAATGAATGATATTGCGCATAAGAAATGTTAGGAACAAAAATATAAAAATCTATATTGTAGTAATTATGAATATGTTTGGTTAATTGCGTTAAAATCAGAAATAACTGTTGCGAATTAAAACATAATATATCAAAGAAGGCTATAACACTAATACTAATTAGAGAATTTTGGAAAACTTCCGTTGCAAGTTACTGTTTTTTTTAAATCCGTTATAGTCTTGTTGATAACGTTTTTTATCGTAGTGAAATTTGTTCTGACACCTAAAAATAAATTTTTTGAGATAGTGAAACAAGTGTAATAGAGTGCAAGTATAAATCTGGGACACACGATCATAGTGCCAAAACATTATCGAACAAAGACTGTTAATGATAATTACTTGCTGACATTTGTGGTAGAAAAAAAGGGTGCGTGTACTTATGTACGCGCGTAAGAAGTTATACTTCTGTGGCATTATTAAAAATAGTTTTTGATTGCATGCAAATAATTAATTACAATTGAATAATCAAAGACTGGAAAAGGAGTCATTATAGTAAATAAAGTTCAGTTTACATTTGAAAAATTAAATAAATAAATATTATTATTCTCTTACATTAAGTGTAACATAAATTCTATTATTGTTCGAATGTTGTTTTTAAATTATGTCCAATGCCGTAGCATCTTCCGTGGGCAACTTCATTCTGTTAATTTTGTGTCACGGTGCGCGCGCATCGTAAAATTTCACTCTCATCAATTTTTCATAACGCGCCTAAAGAAGTATAACTTCAAAAATAGTTTAAAGCGTTTTATATACTTGATATCTATTAATCTTTATCCAAGTATATAAGCATTTAATTTTAAACGATTCTTAAGATATCATAGGTTGAAGATACCTTCACAATAAAAATATGGTCAACATTTATTTAATTACGTGCACGGGTCTTAATGCGGTGAAATCGCGTCGATTACACAATTTTCTATACTTTTACATAGGCTTAGTATATCTATGTCAAAAAGCCTTGATATATGATTAAAAAAACGTAAAGATTCAGGAATCTTTCTGTGAATTAATTAAAATAAAACAAAGATCAATTATCACATGACGTTTATCGCCATGGAGGTATTGTTTGCAAAATTACGATTTCTCGGTAAGTTCTTTGTCTTCAATAATGAAGCGTTAATGACTGATTATGTTCGGAACTAAACAACGTTCAACTTAAGAAATTTAAACAATCTGTAGAAATGAAGGGCCTATATGTTTTAATGGGGCAAAAGTATGATTAGCAAAGTAAGATAAAGTATGCCGAATAAAACAAATGCTAAATGTATTGCCCATCCATAGTAAAGGACACAAGTCATAGAGGTATGTCGAACATTAAAAGAAGGTAATTGGGCGCAAGAATCCGTATATCTGCTACATAGAATGTCTATTGCGACTCTGAGATCCTAAGAAAGTCAAGATTATAGAATAAATAAAATTAAAAAAAGAATAAATTAAATTACAATTAAACGTAATTATTACATAATAAACATATTTAAGTAATAATTACGTTTATGACCGTTAAATAAGTTTTCATTATATATACGTAGTAAATAATAAACATATTACATATATTATACTAGCTGCTCCCGCGAACTTCGTTTCTCCTTAATGTGATTTTACTACCTACCTACATTTTTAGTACTGTGTACCAGCATGGATCATTTTGCTATGCTACCCCAGAGATTGTTCGGTTTTTTAATGCTGTATCATAAAAAAATAAAAACAGAAAAAAATATCTAAAAATAAAAATAAAAATATTTAGGGTTGGACTACCCTTAACATTTAGGGGGATGAAAAATAGATGTTGTCTGATTCTCAGACCTATCCAATATACACACAAAAATTGAAATATTAAATATTAAAAAAAAATTAGGGGTGGACTACCCTTAACATTTAGGGGGATGAAAAATAGATGTTGTCCGTTTCTCAGACATACCCAATATGTACACAAAATTTCATGAGAATCGGTCAAGCCATATCGGAGGAGTTTAACCACAAACACCGCGACACGAGAATTTTATATATTAGATATATCTAATACTAGAATGATTTATTTTAAAAGGGACAAAATTGCCCATAACGGACAAGCATGTATGGTGAATGTCAAGCGAGAGAGGTATGTCAGGACCGTAGGAAATGGAGATCTGTGGTCTCTTCTTACCTCTTCGGGAAATAGGCGTGAATAAAGAAATAATACTTTTAATTTTGTTATTAACTAATAAACTTCTGTTTTGCGCTTGAACCCCGGGGTCATCGTTTTTAATTTTGGAGTTTGATTTGAGTATGTAAATTATTCCAGGGCCTCCAAACCTTCTACATGCTGTCTGTGACCCTTATCTTCACGGTGGCGATGCTGCTACAGGTGCCTCGTTTTGAGGTGCCTTATACTGTGAAGATGTGTGTGTTCATTGGATGGGCGGCGTATGGTGTTGTACCTACTATGCACTGGACTTATGTTATGGGCGGGTTTCATAATCCTATGGTTGAGGTAAGAAAAAGGGTGATGATAAGACAAAACAGCTTACTACATGTGCTGCGGTAGTTGCCTTTTTAGTTTTAACTTTTAAGGCTGTTCAGCCTTGCGATTCTGTAACTCACTTTTTAAACTCACACAGCGGTTTTCGCCGCGGCGATCACGCTCAAATCAGTCGTGAAGCAGTCATTTAATGATTTCGCATTCTGATAAACAATAAACTACAAGCTCCCTCCTTATCATATCTATATAAATTAAATTATCCTAAACTTGTCATGACAGTGGAGTACAGGGAAAATCACGCTAAAAAAACGCGCCGGTACCGTACCTCATAGGTGGCGAGGAAATGTGTGCATATTATGTATAATGCGACACTTAGAATCGCGGTATCTCAGGAATAGTACATCTTAGGAAATAAATCGTGAATATCATTTTTGTAGAGAATTTTATCATCTACAACGATGGCTTGAAACGTTTTTTGATAAAACTTACCGTTTTCGAGAAAAATTAAAAAAAAAATCAAATTTTGACCTCGAATAACTTTTGTAGCAGACATAGGATCGATGGGGATTTTTAAAACTTTATTTGTAATGGTAAACCCCACCACCTCCACCAGCCAAAAATTGGCTCTCCAGTCTCCACCAATTTTTGGCTTTCCGGGATTCTTGTTATTTGACCAATGACCACTATTTTTGTCTCATATTTAACCGGGGACCGGGCTATATATACTCTGTAATTTAATTATCTATCTATAAACCACTACTTAGCTATTACGCTATTGCGTGGTTCCCAAAAATTATCTAATTTTATGAAAATTGAATTAGGGAAACGGCGCCTTTTCAATTGCTTAAGAATATAAGTGTAAGTTCCGCATCAACATGATACCGCGTTTTAAACGAGCAAAACGCCATCTATCGTAAATCTATGTATTCCAGACTCACCCGCGACTTTCACTATGTGGGTGCTATCTTGATTGAATTTGTTTTATTAAGTGGAACATACTTTAATCATAGTCAAACATATCTTTTGATGTACTTTTCATTTTAACAGTCTGTACTCATTCTGCGTAATTTCCTTATTTTCTAGTATTAAGAACCAATTTATATATTTAAAAAAAAATATAATAGATGAAACCCATAGTTGTAAGGTTACTATAAAAGTTGTTAATTTAATAATAATTTTATTATTATTTATTTTTTAAAATTTAATTACAGTCACCAATTAACCAATTAACCAATTTTTTTTTAAATTTCAGATGTTCTTCCCCCGTGTTATTGGAATGTACGTGATAAGTGGAACTGCCTTTGCAATTTATGCATTTAAGGTAATTTAGGTCATTTTTTCTAATTAAAAGTCCTATCTTCCAATTTAATTAATTGATATATTTTTTTAATTTTATACACGTAATGTTATTGATTCTAAATATTTTCCAGATTCCCGAGCGTTGGTACCCAGGTAAGGTAGATTACATCGGCCATTCTCACCAATGGTGGCATGTTCTAGTTCTAGGCGCTCTTTACTATTGGCACAACACAGCCATGATGTATGTACAATATCGTATGAACCACGGCTGCGCTAATAACATGAGAATATTCTAGAACGGTACGTCCTTCATATTATAGAAAATTTCAATTACAAAATCGTCGGGTACATCGAACTTTCTAAATTAAAAAAAATGTGCTGCGTCATTCCAGAAGCATTCAATATGACATTTAAAATTAGATTATTCCATTTTGTTGCCACATCCTCGGATTTTTGACAGCTAAGAAAATTTTGAATTTAGAATTACTACGATGCAACATTTTAAGATATAACACATACTTACATTTAGAATAATATTTGTTGCAAAAATGTTAAACATTTTAACATTTATATATGACAACAATAATATATAATAACAATAAAACAATCCAAATTTAAAGATTTTTTTGTATTGCATTTTATAGGAAAAATGATTTGATATTGCTCTGCGAGATACTGCTCAATAAAGGTAGCCAATAATATGTTTTATACCAATAATTATTTGAACGTTAATTCTTGTTAAAAACCTTAGATTTTACAGCTAAAAAACGATATAAAATCCCAAACCCCATAGTTTGATGTTAAAATATAAGAAACCAACAGCTCTCGAACCAAACGTACCTTAAATTAATTAAGAGAATTATTGTTAAAAAAATTAAAATCCAAATATTTAATATTGAGGATATTGTCAACTGTCAATACTTGTTAAAATATGGCAGCAAATTTATGACAGCTATTTTCAAAATCATTAGAATTATATAAAGTGTGAATTTTGCTCAAGTGTTATTAATAATGACAAAATATTTTTACATATTATTAATTAAAATTTAATGTTGAGTTTTAAATATTTAGTTATAAGCAGCTATTTATTTGTATATTCCATTTTTAATTAATTTCTAAATCAATTCCAGTACAAACATGTTTGATGAATTTGTAACAAAATCTCTAAACAAATGATTTGAAAATGTTTGCGCTATAAGATCTGATTTTTTACTTCCTAGCATTTATAATTACCACCTGTGATCACTTTCTTATTTTATTTGTTTTATGGGGCTGAAATTGGGTTTAAATAAAAAATACTTTTTATACAATGAACTTTGTTTATAAATTTTACCGTTCTCCTAATATCCACGAACAAAGAAATTATAGTTAATCACACAGGATCACTACCAGAACAGTAAATAATATAATTTTAACACATTTTTGAAGTTATATTAATAAAAATAACTAACGGACCTAAAGACGACCTGTACACACGTCGAACAAAAAGAAATTATGATCTAATTGTAAATGAAAACTATTCTCGAATCCACAAAAAATCCGTCGATATCGGTCCAGCCGTCAAGGAGGTGATTAATTAAAAACACACACAATATTTATACATATATAAATATTATAATAGATATAGAATGTTATTTTTTATAGTATTAAAGTACTTTAATAGATAATGCAAGTTTTTACAATACTAATAGCTTTTATCATTATTGAGACACAGCATTTTTTTAGCTGTTGACATTTTAATAACATTTTGATTATTACGGTGTGTATAAAATAAAATTTACTACTATCTATCTTCTAATTCAGTGTATTTCGTTTTTTTTTAGGGATATCGCCACCTAGTAACAAAATCTTAAAATAATATAGTCAAAACGAAATTACCTGCCATCTTGTGTCGAGTAGTGTAATTTAAATGCCATGGTTATTATTATGTGTTGCAGCGCCATCTAGTCATAGAACTAAGTACCACGCACATAATGCATAATAATGGTTCAAATTTACTTTCAGTATAAATTATCTGTCCTATTCGACACAAGATGATTTCGGCAATGACAGGCAAGAGCCTGTCTTGGTTGTCTAACCTTTTTAAACTTGAACTATGGAATTTTCAGACTTTAATTAATCGAGTATTGGTTGAGCGACATTTTTCCTTACTTAACAGGCTGGTCATCTGTGTGTATGTAGTGAAATTACCCGTGTTTAAAGCACATTTCGACACATCTATACCCTATTTAAGGATTATATGACCTCACTTTTACGGTAAAAGTTTTACCCGTTAGTTTGAAAAGCGTGTTTTCAGCGTTGTAGTTACAGATGGCGACCGTAGAAGCTATGCAGATCACAAGATAGCGTGCAATTGATATCAGCAATAACGCTTTCTTCATTATACATCTTCGGTTTGACTTTGATATATTTGAATTTCTGAAACGTAAAATATGAGTATGTTGCTTAAATCAAGTGCCAAGTAATAATAAAAAAAATGTGAGCCGTCACGGGACGCCTGGCAGAGTGAAACATCGACATTATTTTGTAAAAGTAATATGCAGAAAAGAACACATTGTGATAGGAACTAAATATGTCATAATGATAAAATAAAATATTACGATTTTTCCAGATAACGATGACTTTATTGAATAAACATTTATTTTCATTAAATACAAAAATTTCAGAATTTATTTCAAATCGTGACTACTTAATTCGTTTAATCAGTGACTTCGAAATACACACACCGTACACACGCGTCGCCACGGCATGCGGCGCCACGCCAGAAATCGGTTTTACGTGCGGCTATAGATGTTTCACATCAATAATAAATCGTTTATTCGCAAAGAAATTAGATTTAGATTGTATAATAAACAACCGCAAAATAAGTCTAGTTAAAATAGGCATGTAGTAACTTGAAGTGATACTTTCTCTAAGTATTATTTCAGTTCTCGTAATGCGGTTAAGATTTAATGGTTCAGCTACTCATTAAAATTATTATCTACCTAGTAAGGCTATGTTTTTAATTTTTATTAGTAGCTTATGAAACTATTGCAAAATACGACCCATTGAAGCCCGAGTGTTTAAGATTAGGTACTAGCTTGAAGCGACTAAATAATAAAAGTTCAATATGTTGTATAATGTTTATTAGTATGAATTTGAATACTGTGATTAGTTAAGTATGTGGAACCAGCTGCCCACTGAAGTATTTCCGAACCAATTCAACTTAGGGTCCTTCAAGAAAAGAGCGTACCAATTCTTAAAAGGCCGGCAACGCACTCGTGAGCCCTCTGGCATTGAGAGTGTCCATGGGCTGCGGTTTCACATAACATCAGATGAGCCTCCTGCCCGTTTTCCCCCTGTATTATAAAAAAAAATCGTTATAGTAACTAACCCGTGCAGCAGGTAAGTTTAAACAATACATAAATAACCTCTTTTCTTGTTTCCTCCTAGTAACAGGATACATCGTTTGGAAAACAAGCAATCAAATATTAATATTTTTCTACCAGTTCTCATGACCGTAGAACGTACGAGAAGAAGTATCAAGACTATCTCCAACTCCTCGATTAATCACTGAGTTTTTTTTTTCAAGATGCTAGTGAAGAAAGAGAGCCTGACGCCAGTAGCCAGCAGTAGTGTTTATAGCCAAATAGGAACACAAACTTTGTATGCGAGAATACCATAAAACCTCTATGTATATCAATATCATAGGTATATATAAATAAATATATATATATATATATATATATATATATATATATATATATATATATATATATATATATATATATATACGTTTTAAATAAAACCCCAGCTCCATATATTACCTGAGATACTTTTGTCAACAGAAAATAGCAATTCATATGAAATCGTATTAAGAGTTTTGTAAAAACAAAAGATAAATGGGCAATATTTTCATTGCATCGATGAATGGCTCTCTGTTGACTCAACGTAGTGGAAAATATATCGGCTCGAAACGGATTGACAATCCATTTCGATGAACGATGCTTTAACGTTTGATATTTTTTTCACAATTGAATTCATTCGTTTTTGCGTTGCAGTTTTAATTGCTTTTGGGTATATTTTAATTGAATTTCAACATTCTTTATTTAGACAACTGTTCTAAATTTTATTGTAGGGAACTAGTGAATATATTATATCATATAATACTGCAATATTAATGAATCCGAATACATAAATTATAATTAATAAGAACATGTTTTTATTGAAGTTACCAATACTTCTTTTGTTTCACACTGTAACAAAAAACCGACACCCTGAAGTTAGCTATAGTCAATATTGTAGTTTTTTCTATTGTTAGTGTCGTTTTTTCTACAAACGAAGAATAAAATTTTGAAAAGATTTTTATCTTGTTACGCCAAAGAAGTATAACTTCTAACGCGTGTACATAAGTACACACACGTTTTTTTTAATCTACGCGTTTTCCAATAAAGCACTTTAAATCAATACCAATTGAAAAGTTCAAGATAAAATATCAATTTTCCACATAAGCGGAAACAGAATAAGCAGAGTGAAACAAATTAGTCCCAATATTGTCCCATGGGAGGACCTGACGGATTGCGATGCGATTGCCTGCGACACTGTCACCGGCGTCACTGCATGTCATTCGGGGTGACAGCGAGAATGCTTTGTATGTGATAAGCCGATCCTTTGATCTCTTATCTAGATCTAAACTATTAAATATTCTTCTAATATAAGATATTATCATCATGAAACATTTAAGTAGATATGCCGAATCGTATTTTTCAAAAGAATATTTTCTTTCTACAGAAATAACTAGAGACTATAACATCTTAATCTCTAGGTATATATATAAAATTCTCGTGTCACAATGTTCGTTCCCATACTCCTACGAAACGGCTCGACCGATTCTTATGATTTTTTATGCATATTCAGTAAGTCTGAGAATCGGCTACTATCTATTTTTCAAACCCCAAGTTATAAGGGATGTCCACCCCAAAAATTTATTTTTTATTTTTACGAATTTTTTGTTTTTATTTTTTTATGATACAGCATACAAAAATACGATCAACCCCTATTTTTTATTATAGTAGATAGTTATTTTTATTGAACTAAAAAAATTCCTAGAAATAATATACATGGCAAAACAAACGTTTGCCGGGTAAAAATAAAATAATAATTAATTAATGGTAATTTTTTTGTCTTTTAAAAAGTCCTCTATAATATGTATGTTTTTAATAATTATTTATTCGTGTTTTAAAAGTAACCTAGTAGTTGAGGCACCTCTTATTCGAATTCCTCGAGAAACAACAGAATAAACATTACTTGATATTGG